AACTTCGATAAAAATTGTATCGTTCGAACGAATGTATTTAAATTTTATACAAAACAAGACTCTATAAGAAATATGTTTGATTTTATAACTTGTCTATAAATTGTTGCAAATGGTCTGAGATCACATTTTCTGAAATAATTAATATTATTTGTAATTCAGTCTTTTTTCTTTGATGCCAAAAAAAAAAGAATCATTTATTTTCTAACGAAACGGGATATAAGTAATTAATGCTCGTGGTAGACAGCGTAAAACGAGAGGAAAAAAAAGAACGAATAGAAAGGAAGAATTTTAATCTTCACGCGGTTGAAATTCGCAAACCACATTCCAAACAACTACTCCTACTCCTACTACTACTACTACTATTACAAGTTACGAGTTCGGTTGGGACCGTTGAATATATTGGCGATTTAATAGACCGATTCGACCGACCATTTTCGGAATTATACGTTCCTCTGGATAAAGAAAAAAAAAATAAGAGGAAAAATAGATTACAAAATAATAGTCCAACTAACTAAGTTGAGTATTTCAAATGATTGCGATATTTCTAACTAAATATAAATTGTCTATTATTTCTATCCCTGTCGTGTGGTTGCTGTTGAAAAAACAAGCACGATATTTTCTTGTCGTTACACAATAAAATTAGAAAATAAAAAAATTGAGAGAAAGATCAAAATTGTCCACACTTTCTGGAGCCTCCGCGAGAACTCCTTGACACGCTGAATTGTTTTTTCATTCTGGAAACACAACGAATGAAGAATTTAATTAAATATGCTTCTATCTTTAATCTTGTACATTATGCGAATGCAACAAAGCAACTACGACGCAGTTACTCGGTCTTATTCCTGCAAGAAAAAAAGAAAACATATATTTTAGCAAATATGAAATAATCAAAAAGTAGGAAAACCCGAATGAAAAATGAGCGACATTTTGAATTCAGCCTTGGCAATTAGTACTTCCAAATCTTACCCTGCGTTCTTCCATTTTCTCGTCTAATTAGAGACATTGTTTAATTTCGTCTGTGTTACCTCTACTTACAATTAGCAAAGAAAAGAAAAGAAGAAGAACAAATGTAATTCAGAGTAAAGAAAACAAAGGGAAACTGGAAGAACGCGAAACGAAATAATTGTTAGAACTCGTTTTATTAATAAAAATAACAACTTGACTAGCTCGCTCTTTGTTTAATATAAAAAGTAATGTGTTTATTATAAAAATACGTTTATTATTATTATTATTATTATCTCGTGATCGTTCTCCATCCCTTATCGCGAGCTACACAATAGAAGGGAAATTCCCAAAGCGAGTCTATGCGCATCGATAGTTCGTTAAATAGCGATGCGAGGAGTCTCCAATACTGGGTAACCTACATATCTACTCTTACACATATATATCCATATGTGAGCGTGAAAGAGAGAGAATATTATTTACTAAGGTATTCGCGTGTGAGTAGCCGAATAGCGTATAATTTCATAAACTCTGCGACTGGTTCGATCGAATGAGGACGGGCTTCATATAAAAAGACAAATTTGTCTTCAATACAAGCACGCAAAAACGAGATATAGAATCGATAATTACCATAATCTAGGCGAACAATTTAGAAAATAAAATAATGTAATAAATTGATTAGAAGGCACCGGCCACGATAGATTATTCGAGAAACGTGCAAAACAAGTTTGGCCGAGTCAAATGCGTGTAAACCATAAATTCCATAGCATCAACCTTAAAAAGAAAGAAACAGAGAGATGGAAAGATAGAAGAGAAGTGGGAGTGGATGGTATGCTACGATTAAGAGAGAATATGAGCGATTAGAGAAGAGGAAGCCTGTAAAAGGAGCTTCTGAGATCCCCAGACAGTGGCGTCATCGGATTACTTAATGCGGTTCTATGTATGCGTTCTCGCTGCCTCCTCGTATAAAAGTCTACTACTCGACTAGATGAACACATGAAAAAAACAAACTCTCCCTTTCCTCCTTTTCTTTCTTCCTTCTTTTTTCTTTTTATGAACAAGAAATTTCGGCTGTTTATAAAAAATCCACTTTTGATTTGATGACAAATTAATAGGAAACGGTAAAAGAAAATGAACAAACGACAATAATTAATAATTAATCTAAAATCGTTAAGAAATATTAAAACGAATAATATATTCTTACTAGGCACGAGTTAAAAGTACGACGTGTTGACAGTAAGACGGTCGAGCTGTAACTGTCTCCGATGTATACAAGTATCAGGAAAAAAAAGTATACATAATTATAAGACTAAAGATAAATATAATTTGATCTTAAAAAAGTAGGTGTTAAATTATCAAAAATAATAAAAAAAAAATAAACGATCTATGTATTTCTTTATAACAACGTTGACGTAGATTATACTCAAATATAAATGTATATACATTAAAAAGAAACGTTCATATATTTTCAGACAAGATTTCTCAGCTCGGTTACGTCTGGAAGTATTTAATTTCCGGCACGAAGAAAAGGAGGAGAAAGTAGAAGAAGAAGAAACAAGAAGAAGAAGAAAAAGAAGAAGAGAAGAGAAAAGAAAAGTTAAGGTCCCAACGACTCGACTAATTAACGCAAATATGACTCTTATCGTGGTTGAGTATCGATACGCGTTAGAGACGAATTTCAAGACATTAAGATAAGCGCGGTTGTTTAATGGTACACCATTACATAGCCATTAAACAGCACCATAATTCTAATTAGGCAGCTCCGGGGGCCACCTAGCTTCCGGCATCAAGCTAATCTTAAGCAGACGCTATTTTAACAACGAAAATAAGTTTGTTTATCAGATAATAGTCATGCGAATAGCCCCACGTATCCTAAAAGAAATATTTGTTGGTTCATTTATTTCCCTTCGAATCATCTCTCTTATAAATATTTCATCGAATAAAAGAAGGAAAGAGAGAGAGAGGAAAAAAACACGTAAGAAATGCCTACTCTTACCCGAGATTATCTAGTCAAGGGTACCCAAAGAAAGCTTAAACTTGGAAACCCTTAAGAGATCTAAACGTTTCAACTACCCTCTCACAGATGGCACTGTTAAGGGTAACTAAACAAAACTAGCTCGCATCGGTAAAGAAGATGCAAAAGATAAAAATGCAAAATGAGATAATACGATAACGCATTAGCATATATCTGCATATATCTACGATCCTATTGTAATCGTTATAAACGAAGTAGTATATAATAATCTTATTACTGATTCAAGAGGAAGTTACTGCATGAATACAAAAATACATTTACATATATATATATATATATAGTGTCCTACTGATGTCAAAAGATTAGGATCACAGCGTGGCGCCACCGAACGAGAAACGTCGTGTCTGCAGTTTCGACGATGAATGCCGCTGGCGATTTCGAAGCTAGAAAGGAAGAAGAAGAAGATGAAGAAGAGAAGAGGATTCTTGTGGTCAATGACGATGGTACCAGTGTTGGTGTTGGCGTTGGTTTGGTGGTGATGGTGCTGGTGCTGGTGGTGGTGCTGGTGGCAGAGTCCACAGTGGGAAGAGTTAAGAGAGAAGCTCGAACGAGAGGGGTAAATGTAAGAGTAGAGGGGTTAGTATGGGCAGGCGACAGGGACGAGGGATTGAAACGGTGGATGACGTTGGTTGGGGGTGGACAGGGAAGGGAAATCGCAACGACGATCAATACATCGCCACGCCTCGCGTTCTACGCTCGTATCTTGCGGAGAGCGAAACTTTACTTTCCCCGATCCTTTCGATTCTTATTCTTTTTCTTTCCCTTATCTTCTTTTCTTTTTTTTCTTTTTCAAAGTGAACATCGCGATCGATCGGATCGTTGAAATAATCTACAACTAATATAAATCGAATACAATTTTTTTTTACCACATTGATCTGGACTTTATTTATTAAGGGTTGGGATAACTCTAATGGATTTTTAATGAATTATTCGCGTTGAGAAAGAACGAACGAACGAATATTTTGGTAATTACTTGAGATGTTTTTGTACATAGATTAATGATCCATATTCGTTCTCATTACTTTTACGACGAAACACGAATCAGGTCACGACTGCACAAACACGGAAGACGAAAGATAGTAGTACGTGTATTGTACTGCACCAGTACGAAAGTTCTCCTTTTTTCGAAAGAAGCTTTTCCTCGAGTCTAATCGCTAGAAGTCCTCGTGTTTTTTCAACTGAATACAAAACGTTTCAATAAAAAAGAAAAATACTAATAATAATCTGATTTATGTTAGTATTACGTAGAACAAAAAGAAATTCGTTTAATTATTAATTATTCTTTCAAGAATAAAAATAAAAAGAGAGAGAGAGAAAATAAATGTGTAGTTTATTTTGTAGAAGGAAATAAAATTGTATATATTTTGTTGTCGGCGTCTACCAACACACTCTATTGTCTGGCGCAGTTTCCACGTGCTCGGTGCATCAAGTTAAAGAGAAGGGTCGTCGTTGATACAAAGATGGATAAATGAGGTATGAAGCGTGCCGCTAATGATAATAACGAGCAACGAATGACAATGCGAATCGATCGAGGAGCATGCGTGGCCTCCCCCCCTGTAAACACGCGTTATGGTAGCGTTAACACAGGTTAAACCGTCTGCTCTGTTCGGTCGGCGAACCAGGACGGCTGGCTGGCTGGCTCGACGTTTACCTCGTGAAAATGTGCTGCATCCTACGATATCGATGATAACACAATTACGTAAGCATTTCAAAGCGATGCCAGTCAAATGGATATTAATACCTACAATATAGACTGAATGTTCTAGGATAAAATCATTACCAAGCGCGAGAGAGAGAGAGAGAGAGAGAAAGAGGAATAAATGGATACGTTAAACTATGTACTATGTTATCCATTAGATCTTTTGAAGCACCTACAATTAGATAATCGAACAACTCTAAAATAATGACTACAATACCTATTATGCTGCAATAATAATAAAAAGATATTACCCAAAATATATATATACATCAATAACGATCATATTGAAATGATAATTGTCTTGCATGATTTATGATTACTCACTCATTTTTCTGTCCAAGTATAATAAAAATCAGTCGGTGAATGAAAATATCTTCGGTTATCCATCAGCAACATCATTGTCATCATCGTCACGTCATCGCCATGCTGACACACACTATCACTTTGATATTTAATTAATCACTAATTCACGTATAATATATACCTAAATCGAGATTATTAATTATGTTCGTTCGTTCGTTCCTTTGTACGTTCGTTTCTTTGTCGAGAATGTTAAAAATAAAGAAAAATATATTATATTTCGCTAATGTGTCTTTACTCCTCAGAAGTCGTATCCCGACTACCCTTGACTCCGACCACTTCTTCCTCCTCTCTCCACTTCCTTTCTTCGAACAAAGTTATACTAGTTAAATTTACATCAAAACATCTTCGAAACAACTAGCTAGAACTACATATACGAATAATGTACTCCGACGAAAGCACTGCAAAGCTCTCTACGAAATATTTGTTAAACATTATACTCAACAATTAATATCAAAATTATTATTGATTCTCGAAAAAGGTCGCTATAGAATTTGATATCAAACCGAAGTAGTATTTCATATTTGTCGAATAAACCGATTCAAACGAACTTGAAGAATTCGATGATTATTGCATTTTCTCTTTCCTTTTCTTTATTTTTTGTAAATTTCTTCTTTATTCTTTCCCGCCCTATTTCCTTTATACACCGAGTTTTATTTTTTGCAAACTACTTAATTAAAATAAATGACGGATCAATATTGATTCTCGATTGCGAAAGAAATGAGAAGAAAGAAAGAAGAAAATATTAATTAATTTGACTTGGGCTGCATTTGCAAGCAGGTGCTCAAGTATTTTACTAATTATTAAGTACCTTACGTCGATGAAATATCGCGCGAATGTAATTATAATATTGTGTTTAAAAGTAAAATAAAAATCTACTGAAAAAGTATATATTTGAATTTTATTTTTATTCTTGGTTCACGCGTTTGACGTTCGTCGTTGGAAGGTAGGAATAACTAACTCTTCGAGTGATTTATCGAAACGGTGAATTGAAGAATGGTGTAATAATATCGTACGGAAAATAACGAACGAAATCGCATAAACGTACGGTCGCGAACGGATTTAGGGGACGTCGATAAATAACGATGCTAGGTGACAAGCGTTAAAGTGAGAACTCTCTCGTAAATTAAGGTCACATAAGAAAGAAAAAATATCTTTTTTACCAATCCAAACGAGTCCAAGTCAAATCTACAAACTTCTTTTATATCATACGCGATAAATAATTAAACTTAATAAATATTAACTCGTTTCTCGCGAACTATCATTAATTATTTTATAAATACAATTTTTATATTTTCGACCGAAATGGATCTTCAAAAAATAGTTGTAGATATAATCTATCGAAAGAATATTTTATAAGTATATGTGTAAGTAATAATTCTAGAATAATTCTCATTAATATTTCGAACGAGTTTCATGAGAGAGGGTGATCTTCAATAATAGAAAGAGCAATAACGATGACGATTACTATAGCTTTGTCGGCCGAATCAAAGTGATGCAAATGAAAAGGAATGTCGTTCGGCCGGTGGCATTCACCATTTCGCCATATAAATCGAAACGTGGGGAGATGTATGGGGTTGCACGTGGATGCACGTGGGACGCGTATGGATCGGTGATGAAACGCGCGCGGAATACGTAACGCACCCTTTTCGTTTAGATCGATCTTAATGATCCGCATACCATGTATCGATATTCTACCGAATTCGATACTACGTCCGATAAAATATCGATTTTATCACACTTTTACATTTTCCTATTTTCCTTATTTTTCTTTCTACTTTTAATATCCCACTTTGCACAAATCTGACCTAGACATTATGTTAATTAAATAAATGACTGAAAAATATATCTAAGTAGGTGGATTGAAAAATGTTGAGCCTTACGTAAAAACAATTGTTTTTTAATCAAACTAACTTTCTTTTTTAAGAAACATAAAGGTTTTTGTTATTGTTAAGGCTCAAAATTTTTCAACCCACCCACGTATGTAAAGAAACATGTGTAAACTAACCTCAAAATATTTCGCAACAAAATTTCAAAACATATTGACACTTTTTCGAATTTTTTCGAAGGATCCACATAATTCAAGATTAACTTTGCAAAACTAACGAAACTTTAACGACACTGATCTTGAATTTGCGATTTAATTAAATCGTTTAATGATAAAGAAAAAATAATCGTACGCGTAATCGTGCACGTCCCCGACGAAATTCGCACACGTACTGACGAGACCACACACACGTTGGTGTATAAACAACAACTTCAGGGCGATGTGATTGCTATCACCTAACCTTAAAAGAAACAAACAATCGGTGTATATAATAACTTTGACACACTTGCGAAAACTTTTACCCGAACGTTTATAATGCACATTTTGTTCTAAACGTGTATTTTTCTTTATCGACATGCAGACAAATTATTCTAAATTTATCGGTGCTATGATGTCATATCTTATTAAGCATATGTAATTATAAGGAAGAAAAAAAGGAAGTAATTTTTCAAGTAAAATTTACAAAGTGATAAAGAAAAGTAACACGAAATATCGATTCTTAGGTCGAACAAAACACGATCGAGACAGTGCATATCGCGTTATCGATTTTCTTTATATAAAGCCGCGTATTTTCTTCGAATTCGAAAAATAAAAAAGACAGATAACAGGCACGTGCTGATCGAGGACACCTTGACGTTATCCACGACAACGATCTACACTGCTCAGGATAAAAAAACAAAAAATATGTAAGCCCCAATGGAATGCAAGGACTACGAATCCAACATGTGTTCTTTTTCTCGAAATTACGCAAATATATTTATAAACCACTTTATACCTTGTCCTAACCGTCGTGAACTTCTTCAGGAAAGTCACGTGTCCTCTCGAACGAACGAGAGAGAAAGAGATAGAGAGAGAGAGAAAGAAAGAGGGAGAGATCGATTTATCGAAAGTAAGGAGTTGAAAATGTCCGAAATCTCGTGATAAAACTGATTACTGTATAAATATTGCACCAACAAACAATTAGAAAAAGAGCGAGAAAAAGAGAATAAAAAGAAAATATAGGAAAGTAGAAGAGGGGAAAAAGGGTGTTGACGCGTTCGCAGGTGTTTTGGAGGCGTGTGCTAGCGCCGCGTGTGCTCGAGATTTGAGGTTAAGCTGTCAAAGGAGAGAAGATAAACGTAGGAGGATTATTCGCACGAGTCGTGGTAGATCAATGTTACGCGTGTTACGAGGAGAACGTTTCCACGCGTGGAGACTGACTTCGTGGAAAATTATCTCTCTCTCTCTCTCTCTCTCTCTTTTCTCTCTGACGCACACACACACTCTCTCACGCACACACACACTCCCGTATACACATGACAGTCTCGCTCACTCTTTCAGTCTCTAACTCTGACGCTTTGAGATTACGTAATTTCCATCATCGTCATACACGCTACACTCACCTTCTCCTCTTCCTCCTCCTACTCCAGCACCACCTCCGCCGCCGCCGCCTCCTCTCCACCACCTCCTCCTCCTCCTCCTCCTGTTCTTCTCCTTCTACTCCGTGTATTCTGGATTTGGCTGCGACGACTACGTCTACGTTGACGGCTAAAGCTTCGGAGGCTTCGCCGACGGCGATGATGGCGGTGTCTTCGTCCTTTTCACTTGGACGACGACGGGCCCACCTCCGAACGTTCCTAACGTTCTGCCGCACCGTTAAAACGTCAAACTTTATCACGAAAACATGGTATCTCTCAACCGAGCACGATGGAAGGGACGGGTGAGAGAGAGGATAAGAGACCACCACCGCTCTCTTCTTTGCCACCGAGACTCGATGACGTCATATCTAGCGGCCCAAGATGGCGGCCCCGCGACGGCGCGGCCACCTTTCTCCCCTCCGCACTCCCTCCCGCGCTTCCTTCCTCCCTCCCTCCCTCTATCTTTCTCCCACTACTCCTTTCGGTTTTCCTATACTTTCCGAAACCAATGTTAAAAGTGATTAATAATGCTTAGTTATTATGCAATTTATATAAGTTCTTTATAAATGTAAGATACTACAAATAATTCTATATTGTAAATTTCATTTTTTCGATTAATCGTCACGAAAAAGGGAACAAGAAAACGAGCTCGTCGTGTCAAGAAACATCGATCAAAACTAAACAGGTTTTATTATTTGTTCTTGGTTTTTTACGTGATTATTAAATTAACAATACGAAACAATTATTACAATTGTTATGGGAAAATATTACCTGCATTTAACGTATTGTTCCCATTTTTGTTTTTTTCCTACTACTATAACCTCTAAAGTGCATCGCTTTGAATCTATTATTTTGTTTGTATATACTTTCTTTTTTCTTATGCTGCTAATATAATTCCAAATGTTAATAACTTTGACTGTGTTAATTGTATTGTTTGTTATCATTGAATTACCTTTTTTTTCTGTTATGGACATTATGCGATAAGTTATGCGCATTAAATGTATGAAAAAGAGGAAAGTACTATTCTTAATTTTGCATACAATATTAAAGAATACAGTTGTAAGATGTTTATTATTTTGTAGCTTTCAAGAAATAAAACAAGATGTCATCCATTTCTCATGTACCCAGAATAAATCAGCTGGATGCCACTCTCCTGGATAACGAGATTGATAAAGTTTTTCAGAATCAGGTAAAAGAAGTCTTTAAATTTTGTCCACCTGGTAAAGTCGACAAATGGCAACCAGAGATTAAAGCTCTTCTTAAAATTCTCATTTGGAGTTTTTCCTTGAGATCCAAGAGCTCTACGTTTGGACAACAAATGCTTGATCTTCATTACGACAACTTGAATAGAAAAAAATCTATATTATTCCTAATTTTAAATCTCCTGCCGGAGTATATTATAGGTAGAGTAATAGACAACAGTATAATATCGAGTCACAAAAAAATGAGCAAGCTTAAAGTTTATTTAAAATGGATAACAACCCTTATACGCTTGTTAGAATTTATAAATTTGGTCAATTTTTTACATCGTGGAACGCAACCTCTGTTGATAGAAAGATTATTAAATATTTCCAGTATTTCTACCAATCCGCATAAACCAAGGAGCATTGGTTATTCTTATATGACTAGAGAACTTCTTTGGCACGGTTTAATAGAATTATTTACATTAGGAATTCCTATGATAAACTATCATTATTTAAAACAAAAGATAAAACTGCTTTGGAATTATAGAAAGCAAGACAAAATTAAAAGATCATTTCCAATTATGAATGAGTCTACTGTCTGCGCTTACTGTATGGAGAAACCTATTTTACCAACCCATGCTGGTTGCGAACACATTTTCTGTTATTATTGTTTGCAAGCAAATTTTACTGCAATGAAGATGTTACTTTGTCCAGAGTGCAATACCGAATTACACGACTGTGATATGAAAAATTATGTTGCTCGGCCCTACCGCTACAATCGAGGATAATAATTTATTGTGATTCTTTCAAAAGTTAGTGTTAATTTCATTTTATTATGGAGATAATCTTTGTATATTTTTTCATGGTATAAATACTGTTACAAAAAGGTTTACGATGCATATCTATGTATATATTTTTTTTTATTAAAAAATAGCAATACAAAATCTTCTTTTATTTTATTTTCAATACAACATTTCGACTTCGAGTATCGATTAGCGTTTTCGTCCGAAACAAACAATAATAATAATAGATCAATATGATATACTCGTTGCTTATCAAAATATTAGATTATCATATAAAAATATCATGCTGCACTATTATAAAACGCTTTCCTCTTCTTCGTACGCATTATTAATTATTATTATCATTATTATCATCATCATCATCATCATCATCATCATCATCATCATCATCTTCATCATCATCATCATCATCATTATTATCATCATCATCATCATCATCATCATTTTTATTATAATTATAATTACTATTCTTCTTCTTGTTATTATTACACAACATTATATCGATTGAATGAATTCGCTCAATTAGTTGGGCCTTGATCGGATGGGCGGATACGTTATTCTTTCGAAAAGAATATTTTATCAAGAAGGAGAATAATATTCCAAGAAAAGTACTATTTTTAAGCTGAAATTTGTTTTCTTTCGCCTTTTCATAATTATGGTATTTATGTATTTATATATATATATAGAGATATCAACGAATCGATCGATCGAAGCTGTTGTCAAGTTGGAATGTGCATTATATAATACAAATAAACATCGTTACGTATTTTTCGCAACGAGAAAAGCGTCGATCGTGATCACGAACAAATACGTATGTAAATATGTAGGTATGTATGTACTACGCGCGAATGCACCCCCGAAGCATCGCAAAGTTGTTCATTTGAATAGTTCATAACCATTCGAAACTTCCCGGCACTCCGATTGAAAACTTCGATTCGACATTTTTTCAAAAAATCGTCGCTCGAACATATTTCGACTTCAAGTTTTTCCATTAAATTATTATTACGTAAGAACAACGAATATGTGTGTACGTATGTAAGTATGTGTACATGTGCATGTGTATGTGTATGTGTGTATACATATATATATATATATATATATATACACATGTGTGTATGTGTTATATGCGTGAATAGGTGATTGTTCAATTTCGAGACATTAAAATTACGCTTTTGAACACGGGAAGTTCGTATGTAAAAAAATCCGGTCTTATACGTGAGAACAACTTATCACATTGTGTACGGCGTTCTGTTTGAAATCTGTAAATTTTTAAGCGCGCGCGCCGAGAAGCTTATTACAATATACAAAAGCACTTTTTTAATTCGCATTTATAAATTCCTAAATATGAGACTATGTATATTCATTGATTTTTTTATCCAAATTGAATAGAATTTAATGAAATTATTTTTAACTCGTCGAGTCGTTGATACGCACGTATAAAAAAACAACAAAACGAGGTATCTCGTAATCCAGTCTCAACGCTCATTTTACTATGTACAAAAATTCTCGTAATCCATATGCAATATGTTAACAACTACACTTCGGGTCAATATAATTCGTTAATCAATTGCATTTTCGTTATCGACGAAAGAATAAACTTAGGAAGTGCGCATTTCATTGCAATAACAAACACACGAAGGAACAGACACGAATGTACTGTCCTATTTTTTGTGTATATATATATATATACATATCACACGTGGGAACACATAATGTATAACATATATTTCTTATAACAAAGATAATAATTATATGGATGCATATATACATGCATATATACATACATCCTAAACTATAATCGGGATACTATGTTTAATTTTTTGTCTTCTTTTTTAATTGATTAACCGATCGTTTGTTATTTTTATTCTAGTCTAACTCTAATCGACGATTTCATTTTTTAAATCATTTTCAATATCTTTCCCACTCCTGCGCTTCTTCATTCTCATATTTTTCTTTATTGTATATTAATCATCTATCGATCATATCCACGAGCACATGCGATCACGGCATGCAAGGACAAGAATAATTTACGCTTAAAAGAACTTCACAAAAGGAGATAAGTCAAAAAGTTTCGCCAGGTGCATGCACGATCACGAAAGGGAAAAACGATGCCTCGTCGAGTTCTCTTTCGAGATTTTCACGTTTTCAACTAACATAGCTAATTATTTCAAATTATATTGATTTTGTTTTTCAATTCTTCTTTAAAATTACGACAATCAATCGATCATGTAAATATCGATCTAATCCAATCGTTCTTTTTCTAAGATAAAAAAGAGAGATAAAAGAATAAATCGATCGAATTTTAGCTGAAAGAGAGAGAAACAAAATAATAGAATAAATATAATGAAAGTAAGGAACTCTGATATATAAGAAGGCTTGCAAAAATGAAGATAATTGCGAACGATCTTTTTCAGCCAAAAACGATCGAAAATCTCTCCCGATATTTTACGATAGAGATCGACGTGAAAGAAAATAAATAACAAAAGAATAGAGAAGGAAGATCATCGTAAGATCTCTGCTCGAACTGCAATCAATCCAGCGTGTCTTTCGCGAGCGAATAATAAATACTTTGTTACGTTGTAAAACTCGAAAGAGCGTTTGTCGCGCTCCGTCTCGACGATCGCGATAAACATTTTTTTCGTTTCTTTTTTCGTTTCTTTTTATTAACGTTCTTCTGACGATCGAGAGAGAAAATAAAAAAAAAAAAAAAAAAAAAAAAAAAGAGAAAAAAAAACATTAAACATAATACTCGTTCGATCGCGCTAATGTGTGGGTGGCATTATTATTTGGTCGAGAAAAAGAAAGGAGGAAAANTAATAAATACTTTGTTACGTTGTAAAACTCGAAAGAGCGTTTGTCGCGCTCCGTCTCGACGATCGCGATAAACATTTTTTTCGTTTCTTTTTTCGCATTTCTATATTAGCAAATCGCGTCGTTTGATAAAAGAAAAGAAAAGAAAAGAAAAAAAAAAAAAAAAAAAAAAAAAAAAATAAAAGAGAAAAAAAAACATTAAACATAATACTCGTTCGATCGCGCTAATGTGTGGGTGGCATTATTATTTGGTCGAGAAAAAGAAAGGAGGAAAAGAGAGAAAGAATTTAATGTAAGATAAAGATAATGAATTAACCCAAATATCGATGATCGTCGGGAAGGAGTGCGGCTTTCGCATTTGTTTCGAGCTTAGTCTGAATTAAATATCTTTTTTTTTTCTTTTTTTCTTTTTTTTTTAATCTTTGCTTGGACGAAAGGCCGCTGGACGCGACAAGTAGAAAAAATATCTATACGTAGAGAGAGAAAAAAAAACAAAATTATATATATATATATATATAAAAAGAAATATATAATCTAATATGTCTCCCGCCCACATCATGCGCAAACCAAGAAGAAAATAGTTTTCGAAGCCTCGCAATTTTTTCTTATTGTTAGATTGACCTAATTGATCGTCATTGTCGTTGACGTTTCGGGAACTTCAATAATTATTTTATCCTCCTATTAAACGTGTACATATACACATGTACACATATATACTATAATATAATATAATTTAAATTTGTGTTTTCTCGATACTACTTTTTATCCTTCGTTCCTTCTTTCCTTCCTATCTAATTTATCATGATATTATAATCCGTTCACCGTTACGAAAATACCTTCCACCTTATATTATATCATACGCATGACTCTACACATGCACACATTATCTATCATACATACGTACACACATAAAAACATTCACACGCATTCTATTCTCGATCACACGACACATGTATTCAAATCGAACGATTCTCGATCGTGGAGTATCGTTCGATTCGAAGTAGACCGCTTATTAATTATTATAATAACAAAAAAAAAAAGAAATATAGTATATATGAAACAAAAGAAATATTATATAACGAACTATCTCATCTACCTAATCTTACAATTAAAGAGGCACCGTCGAGGCGCGTGCATCCGAGAAAATGGCGAGAAAAGAAAAAAAAAAGAAGAAAAAAAATAAAGGTAAGGGACAATAGTTGGGAGAAGGGTGCGGGGTATTTTTTTTGAGGGATTCGTTTAGGCCAAAATATTTTTCTCGGGCACGCAACAAAAATAATAAATCATCAGCCTATTCTCCCGGTACCTTTAGACGAAATACGATATAACAATTAACATGCAAAATGATTTGAATTTTTTTTTTTTCTTTTCATATCTCGTTGTCAAGTTCGTTGAGTCGATTGACGATATTATTATTATTATTTTTTTTGTTTGTTTTTTTACTTTTCATTTCGTTTTAATTTTCAACTCCCATTCATTTTCCTGTTCTTTTCTAACTTTCTTTCGGTCAGAGCATTTCTCCACCGAGTCGGATAGATTCGTCCTTGAAATTGTATATCACTTTATACGAACGAGGAAGATCTCCGGTCGATTAGATCCTCATCGTCGTATTTCGAATAATGGCGAATCATGTCCGCATCGAAATAATTTCAATTCATCTTACTTCTCGCTTTTTATGAGCAATTTGAAATTTTTCATATGTTTCTTAATACCCTGTCTCATAGTTCCGGGTCGTTTTCTCGACGCATACGATATTAACATTTACGTATGACGTCCGCGTTACTTGTTATTTCTTTAGTATACTTCTCTTGTATTATTTTTGTTTCCATCTACCATTTGGTATCGAGCGACGTGGATGCCGTTGTCGATGCGGTTACCTTTCGTTCCGCGCCTGGTGCCGCGCTACCATTAAACGGATTACTTCGTTTTTTCATTTCTGAAAAGAGAATTGATATTTTATATCTTACGAATATTTCTTCATTGTGGTTAACCTTCCATAAAGCCACGCGACCACAATGCAATCAGATTTCAATTTATCGACACAAATTTGTCTTACTTGCAATATAATTTATGATACAATATTATTGTTTCTCGTAAATATGAAAAATATAATAAAGCGTTTACAGTGGGGTTAAACGTTTCGTTCGAAATATAAACTTGATAGAAATGAATGAATTGTGGTACCATGTGTTGCGCTGATGATGCTTACGTACCAGAAATCAATAGCATTATTTTACGTCTCGCACCCCAAGCAGTTATTCCGATCTCGTTGAGATCCTTCTCAGTCAACGATGAGAACGTAGCCATGTCCACTTCGTGCGACGTGAACAGGCCTAATCGAAAAATAAAATCGTTGCAAGATCGTTCATCAAGCCCAAAAGCATACATGATTTATTTTTAGCTATTAGATGATGCGAGGCATGCGCGCGACCGAAGAGCGTGCGTTTGCATTCCGTTATGTATAACAAGCAATTTAAAGCCACAATAATAAAAATAAGTACTTACGATTATATTTTTCAAGGCCAACGCTGGTTAACATACTAGCAATATCGGTAAATCTTTGAGATGTGATATTTTTCAAATGGGACGATGGCGTGTGTTCCATGTAATTCGAAGACGAACCGATTGGACCAATCGTATCTTTACTACTCGAGCAAATACCAAAGTCCATTCCTGTGTTTAGCACAGGTGTCATCGGTTCTTCCCATAAGTAGAATGGATCGGACGAAGACAAATCCTGATTTCAAATGGAATTTCAAATAAATGACATCATAGAAGAAATAAACAATATCCTAGATAGTAATTTGTCGAAATAAATTACCTTATTCAAATCACTCGAAGAAATACTTTGACTAAGGCCATAACCCGACCAAGTCGACGTTGGTACACGATATTCCGAAGAGGTGTTAGATTTATTTTGTACGGCTAAGACGGCCATGATTTTTTTCTGTTCGTAATCGGCGGGTATAAAATTTTGTTGGGCAGCCATTTCCAAGGATTTCTTCTCGCAACCTGGTGCTCGCCGATCGGTCACCGAAAGATCCGATAGCACACTCGACAAGTCTAAATTAGGATTAGTTCCTGTTGGGTTCACCGGTGATAAGTTTCGAGGGCTGATAGCTGGACTAGACAAAGAACTTGAAACGCTGCTTAACGAGGAATAAGCTGCAAATGACAAATAATTATACGATCAATCGTTTCGTTTATGAACGAATGCAGCAACAAAAAATAAGGAAAGGATAAAAATTGAACCAACCACTGCCTTCCTTGCTATCCGAAAGGCTGTTGGTCATTCCATGAATACCACCGGTGTGCAAGCCTGTCGACAAAGTAGGATGAATTTGTCCTATGTCGTTCAAGATATGATTCGACAGTCCATGAGTATGAGCCATCAGGTTGCTGTGCATCATGTGTTGCGTCGTTAGCAGATGATTTAAATGTCCATAAGAATATGGATGATGAATTGGTAACGACGAAAACATGGACGGAATCGGTGGTAAATTCCAATGTGACGAAAGACCCATTGGATTCGGCGAATGTGACATCGAAGACACGCAGCATGGTAAATTTTGTGTGTTTACGGTCAACATGCTTGACAGACTCTCCGGTATACCACAAGTAATGGTATTTGTACCTGTTAATTACAAATAATTACAATAACAAAAAAAAACTAATGTTTGTCGATGCATACATCTGTAAAAATATTATTACTTCACTATTGCAAAACATGTTTTGAACAATGTTGCAATTACGCTTACCGTTACCATTCGTGGCGTTTCCTTGAAAAATATTGGCAGCATTTGGAATGTGATAAGTGGTCGGTATTTCAGCGTTTACTCTTGGCTCCTCCAACCCAAGTAGCTGCTTTCTGGCTTCGTAAATGTTGCTGGCATTTCTTTCGATTCCCTTGATAATCACGGAAAATGTACTTTGCTTTGGCTTGTGCCTCACGTTTATGAACACGTCGAGGGATTGCATCAATTGCGAAATAGTCTCTGTATCGATTGAAGACATATAATCCTTCGGGACGTCGAACATTAGAACTAACGGAAGAGATCCCTGAAAAGAATACGCAATTGGACGATGATATTTGTCGAAACTCTGATTTATAAAACTAACGTGTCATGTAACAAATCGAATCCAACTTACGACTAATTGTTGTCTGGCTAAATAAACGTTGTGAATACCACCGATGATCGTAACGTTGCTCTTTTTCAAACTAGGAATATTCGGGTCGCTAGCATCGGGAAACATAATTTGCGTCGACGTACGATGCATTATCATTTTAAGATTGTTACTTGATTTTCCAAGAACAATGCTATGGTGATGTGGCGATATCTCCATTGACATTTGTACTTGAATTTGACTCTGAATAATTACGATTAAAATAACAAACGATTAGAATAAAGACGAAAATGAAATGGATAGGGATAACGATCGATGTGGAAATAAAATAATGTGGAAATAAAAATTACTCACAGCTAAGTTTTCGCACATATAGTGAATCAGGAGTACGGTCGCCTCCTTTACTTGCGTAACTTCCCACTCGCAACCCTTGACGAGAACCAACGTGGCGTGCAATTTCGGTCTGGTACGTAGCATCACCTGAACGTTATATTTCTCTTGAATCTTGACTACGTAAGGCGACGTGGCATCCGGTGTACGCTGAGATGATCCCATTATTGGCAATTCGAAGGAAAATATCAACGGCGTAAGATTCTGCAATCACGAACACAACTATGTGACAACAACCATTTGTCCAATTTAAGTCTCAAGGTTCTTTTAACCATCAAATTACTATTATCTTCTTACTCTTTTCGCGATTACAAGTTACTGGAATCTTGTTGTAAAAAAAAAAGAAAAAAAGATAAAACAAGAACTCGTCTTTACGAAATACACCGAGTTCAAAAACGAAAGGAGTTTTTTCTTTTTACGATTTTATCTTTTACTCTCTGCAATTTTGTTCTCAAGCGAAAAAGAAAAATTGTCCTTACGAAATACACTTGGATAGTTTGTTTTAATTTAGGTGTAAAATATTAAAACTCAGGCTTACCCTAACTCGTGCACGGGCTCGTTCAATGCCATCGATTTCTCCAGCAATAGAAACTTGATTGCTCTTCTCCTGATGATTACTGCGGTTACTATCTGGGAAATGAATGTGGCACCCAGTTTCCTCCATCACTCGTTTAATCGTCAGTCCACCCTTTCCGATAATGTGTGAATGGTCGGTATAACTGACATCCATTTTCATGGTCACTATATTGTTTTGCTGGAAATAAAACACATTTTCTTCTCGTTCATTTGACTTCATTCTACATCTCTTTTTCTTCGAAAGAAAGAAAGAAATAAAGGCGTGGCAGAAAAAGGTAAGGGAGGAGAATGAAAGAAGAAAGTGAAAAAGTAAAAGTCGATATCACACGCGTTAAAAGAATAATGGAAAAAATATGTACGCTGATTCCTCAAAGATAGAAAAATAGACGTACGTTATGCTCTTTTGAAGAAACGAGTAACTAGGAAATGGTACACCTCTCTATACGGCACATTGACTTTTATGCACTAAGACTCACGCATACGTAAACGTATATGTCACGTGTATGTACACAGAGACATTTCAAAATAAAGGAAAGCGAGCTTAACGACTTTAACGTCGTAGATGATCGTAGATCGTCGTAGATCGTCGTAGATCATCGAGTCACGCGATCACGCGAGGATCCTGTCAGTAATTGCATTTGAACTTGAATTATCTTTCTGTTTTTCCTAACTGATCATATTAATTAATTGATTAAGAAAAAGAAAGAAGGAAAGAATGAGAGAAAAAGAATAGTAAGAGAATGATTGAAAATACGTAAATCGCGATTAAATTCGCATAAGCATTCTTTACTCGTTTGTTTGTGTGTTTGTTGATAAAAAGAAATTGACGGAACATTGTTATTTATAGCATTAACGTGTCAATGAAAAAGTATTTCACATGAATCACAGCTTCAAAGATATGCGTATGCGAAATCATGATCATTATTATATACCTCCTGAATCGGCCTTTATTATACGTATAACGGAATATAATGATCGATACTCCTTTCGATGAAATAACTGTGTCAACGAATATCCAATATTAAGGAGTTATCAAGTACACGTAACTCTAAATGATTTTTTTTTAATCGATTAATATTAATCGATTATACATATTTATTTATTCTTTTTTTTTTCTTTTTTTTTCAAGAAAATACGCGAGAACAACACGTTCTTCTTACTGGCAATAATTTTCAACGATAAGAAAATATAATTAGAAGAAATGACTAGCTTTTATATAATCTATCGCTATATCCAATAAGTTTAATGCATGAAAACGTTTTGCGTTAATATTCTTACTGGTGTAGACATACATGTGTATACGTGTGTAACGGAACGATGTTAATGTAAAAGTAAATTTTCATCTTTTGGTCAAATCGCTAATTGTAAGATGACGATACGCTTTCTGGATTGAAAGAATTGCATTGTAGAAATTGCAACATCGGCTCTCGCATATACTCAGCAACTTTTATCTCAGTTTGTGCATAAAAATACATATAACAGAATGTGTCTTCTTCTTCTTCTTCTTGTTCCTTCCTTCCGTTGAAATGCAATTCTCTTCTCATCCTTTCATCGAATTATTCATGAACTTGATAGTAATTAAAAAATTAAATCTAACCATGGAAGCGTGATAGAAAACGAGTGCGATCTTGTAAAAATTCGAAGACGAAAAACAATTTATTTGACTTGGCCAGTTATCTTTCTTTCTTCGAATTAACAACACATTAAGGAAAACGTTAAGTAGCAATAAAGCGTATTTAAATGCTCATTAAGTGTCCGTATAATATCAATTAGAACGAGGTGTTTTTAACGAGTACCTATTGATAATATGCGCCAACTAAACGAAAAAATGTGGCAGGGAACTTTTGTTAATTCGAATGAAACTAATTGGGTGCATCGAATTGAGCTTAGGGGGTTCAATTAATTACGAATAATTTAGAATGAAAAAAACAAATGAAAGAAAAAACGTACGTGTGTGCGCGCTCGAACGCTTGCAAAAGGTATACTTAACGAGAACGATAATAAAAATGAAAGATAATTGATCGTATTCTTATAAAAAGATAAGAAGAATTTGTATAAAACTTTGATCGATCGAAGGAAACCTAAGCTCAATGAGTTGATGATCGTTGTACATATATACTTTTTCAATATTATTCAAAGAAAAGTCAAAGCTCGAGAGTCATTTGAAATTGATCGATTGATCGATCGATCTTCCTAATCTTCCACGTGTTCGATCTTTCTTTAGATAAAGCATTAAAAAACTTTTCCATTGTTATTATACATTTTAATTTTCCTTTTTTCTTATTTGTCTAAAAGTTTGAAAGTAAATTACACTCACCCTCGTGTCTAGAATCTCCATTATCTTTTCCTTAGCTGTTCGTACGTCATCTGCACGACCTGCGACCTTTATGTGCGGATCTGCGAGACAAAAAAAATATACATTCGAGAATGAGAGATAGGTTACATAAAACGATTTGAGCAAATATTTTGGTAATATCTGATTTATCCAAAATATTGCTCGATAATAGATATATTAACAATAACAATAAAGAAAATAAGAAAGATTGATGAATCGCGTGGCATTTAAAGATATAAAAATCAAGGTAAAACAGTTTGGAAATAATGCGGATGTTCGGATCGAAGAAAAGAAAAAAAAAGAAAAGAAGATAAAATGGAGAAGGAAGCTGCTACTTTGGCATTAGTATTCCCTTCTCGGCACTTTATATGGGCGTTCGATCGCGAAACGCGTTCTAAAACATGCTGACGTGTCATTGGAGAAGCACAATGACTGCGACTCGCTTACCATCACTGATTTCATCGTAAAATATACATACATATTCATTGATATTCGGGAGACATCCAATAGCACAAACTTATCTTCCGTGATCCTTCTTTGAAAATATTATCAGTAGAACACCTACGAATCCTTCGGTTCTTTATTTGGAAAACTTATTTTTATTCGAGACACGTGAGATAGAATCTTTTTTTTGTTTTTTTATCGAGGAAGGAAATAGTCATTGCATTCAATAGAATAATTTGATTAATTTATCATTTAAATATATTCTGTAATTTAAAACACGATAGAGCAGTACTAATAATAAGATTGAAAATTTAACTAGAAATGATAATCAAAATATATTGGCAAATAACATGTACCTTAAAAGTACAATAATATTATCGTATTGCATGATAATATTATCAAATGAAATAAAATGTTGTAATCGTAGATTATAATTAGCAAACGAGAGAGAAACCTCCTGACGATTAATCTAAACGAACCGATCCACCAATTCCAACTAGAAAGATTCTTATTACAAAAAAATAAAGATCGTATCGATTTACGATCGACGACCGCCCGCGGAGACAATAAAATGCAAAGTTGTGTTCGTTCGTACGATGCTTATGCATCGATTATGATACCCACTTGGCTTAATGTCCTTTTCATTCTGTCGGCCGAGTTTCTCTTTATACGTAACACCTTGTTGATATCTCTCCGATTAGACATTATCATAAAAATGAAATGATAATAATAATAATGATGAAAAATGATGAATCATCGGAACAAAAATGATGACATTAAAAAAACGCAAGAAAAGAAATTTAACTTGGAGACAATAATTGTAAGAATAAACGATTTGAATATTCTCGTAAGGGAATTGATGGAAAAAAAAAAAATATACACGCGCACAAGCATGATGTATAAACCGGTGTCTGTCTAGCTACGGTGTACTATTTCGCGAACGTCGAGAGCATGGTAAACGGAATTTTTCGAGAAGGTCGGTGCCTCGCGATCCTCTCTAAGAATAGTTGGGTGTATACACTGACACACCGCAAGAAAGATAGAAACGAGAAAGAGACAGAGAGAGAGAGAAACGTTGCTAAGAGCAAGGAAAGTCTGCTACGTTGAAACGTTGACCTAAAAATAACTTCTGACCGAATATGCAAACGACCTTCGGTTATCGTGATCACACTATAAAACGATCTTGATCTCCCCGCTGGATCACATTTCTCTCAGCAATGACACCAAAAATACTAAACGAATTGTAACACACTTGATTCGATTCTCGATTATATGAATACGGTCAAAGGTCAAAGCCCTTTTAACTTCGATTTTATTTATATTTATTCGATTTATTATTTCGCGTTGATGCAAAAAGAAAAAAAAATATATATATAAAACCATATAAAAGATCGATAAGAGATTGACCACGTTTTATTTTTGATAATTAACGCGATATTTTTTTGTCGAGTATTATCGGAAAGACTGTTTCTTTTTATCTTGCATGTTTTTTTCTTTTTTAATCCTTTACGTACAAGTCGTTGCAAAAGCATAGCAACACACGCGTCGATCCGATTGTATATCTTTGGCACGAAAAGTGTGATACGGTGTCAACGTGATGCTGCTCTCGTTAATGTATGAATTTTGTCTATCTTTGAAAAAAAAAAAAAATAAAATAAAATATTTCAAAGAGTTACGCAGAAAACAAACAAAGATTTTCTAATCGCATCGCCGTTTCCTGTAGATCCCTGAACCGAGCGAATGAACTTATCCGCTAATTAAACAAAGTTCTAATTAAGTTCTAATCGTCATATCCCACTCCTTTCTCCTTTCTCCATTGGAACTTTCGAGAATCAGATAAGACCAGATTTTAATCGATTCGACGTGCCCTATCGAGATTATCGATCTGGAAACTTAACGATTAGTTTTATTCCCCCTGGAAAGGAGAAAACGAAGAATCGGCTACTTGAATATAAATACATACATACACCGAATTATCGAATGTATTATTGATGCCATTTCATCGAACGAACGAGATAAGCCGAACCCCATGACATTTTCAAACGAGGAGCCTGTTCATTTTTCGTATGACTTATCTATCTTTCGTAACACGCATTCGTTGTATGTTAAGAAGAAAAGGAAAAAAATAATTATGCGCGAGCCTAATTAAGAACAAAACTGCAAAAGAAAAAGAAAATACGAACGAATAGAGAAAGAAGAAAAATAGAATGTAATTTTTTGTAATGTCTCAAAAATTCGACAGGTATGGTAAACGAATCGATTAATATGTGTAAAACTTATGTACACACAAGTTTCAAGGAAAAAAAAACTTCGATCGAACTATACCTCGTTTCATAATTAATGCCGTACGATATACAACGAGATAATTACAGCTAAATTATCACGAGAAACGCACGTACGTATTATTATACATTTGCATTTCTTTTTTTTTTATATATATAACGGAAAGAAAAAATATAAGAAGATAAGAAAAAAAAAAAGAAAGAAATCTAGAATGATCTCGAAGATAATTGTAAAGTATAATTTATTTATTTCCGTCCTGGTATCGAGTATCGTACGTTTCCGATTTCAATTTATTTTATCGATCTTCCTCGAAACTTTCTTCTTATCTTTTTAATTAAAAAAAAAAAAAAAAAAAAAAAAAAAAAATTGATTTGGAAATTCTTATCTTTTTAATTAAAAAAAAAAAAAAAAAAAAAGAAAAAATTCTCTTCTTTTTTAATTATTAGATAAAAGGAAATAATTATTGTCTGATATTGGAACGATCAAACAAAATAACCTAATCAGATATCCCATTTGTGTTTCTTATCCTTGCAGAAATTTCATAACGGTTTAATTATACATAAATTGGGCAATTGGAATGAGAATATTTAAAAAGAAAAAGAAAAAGAAATAAAGATATGGAGATGATAGAGATGCACTAGTGCAGAGACGTATAAAATGGTGTGAGACTAACGGTTACTACAAGATACACACAAAAGGAACGCGAACAGTCGTTCTATTTTACGACTTGAAATCAGCTCGCTCGGCTTACGTGACCCGGAGAGTAAAAGAAGCGTACTTTAGAAGAGATCGCGAACGGAATTTTACAAGGCACTATTTACTAATTAACGTCGTAATTTAATCGTCACAATTATTGCTACGTCAACACTAACTCGAACAACCCAGGCCCCGCTCGTGTCCCACTTTACCAAATACGCTTCTGACGAATCTTCTTCTTCTTCTCTTTCTATCTGTCCATCATCTATCTATGCATGATTAGATAAAGATTCGAGAAAGGAAAACAACAACAAAAAAGAGGGAAAATAATAATTCCTATCATGAATGTGAACTTTGATTATTATTTCAATATGGTTTTGTCACAGAGGATTGAAAAACGAAACATTACGAGATAAATCTCCTCCGTTTGTCGTGTTCATCATCATCATCTTGACACCGATTACGCGAACTCTCTCGTGTTTCATACCTCGCGTCATTTCATATTATGATATCCAACGTTATGGGATTCGATGCATACGTGCGTGCACGCACACGTGGAGATAATCTATGTTTAACGTTTAGCAATATGATTTATTTACCGATTTCGAAAAAAGAAAAACACTTTATCGCGTGTCTCGTTTATTAAGAAATTAAATTTGTTTAAATATTTCAACGGTGAGCTATTAAAGATTATAGAAAGAGAAGATGATGATATTTCGGTACTTCGCGGTGGCTCGTGGTGTCTCATTGCCAGTGGAGGTCGGCTACGCTAGAGAGAGCCCACTCCTACCTAAGTGTATGCGTGTCTATGTATAATCGAGTATACGTAAGGGAGAAAGAGAGAAAGGATGAGAAACGAGAAGAAGGAAAGAGAGAGAGAGAGAGAGAGAGGAAAGATGCAACAGCTGTTTAGGTCACGAGGAAGAAGGGATGATTCACCGAAAAGTTTCCACCAGAGTAGAGTGCGATGAACACCGTACGTTTTGTACCCCCTCTCCCATTGCCGAGGAAGAAACGGAAGGACAAAGAAATATATATATATATATATATATATATATATATATATATATATATATATATATATATGTGTGTGTAGGAGAGAAAAAGAGGTAAGCTACCATATACTTTTATTGAACGTTCGAGCAAGAAGAAGATAAGCAAACGTAAAAGATTTATCTCCATGGAAAGGAAGAAGAAGAAGAAGACAGCTAGTATGTTACCCGAGTAAACGAGCATATAACAAGAAAAACATTCTAAATTAACAAAATATAATTATAGCGAATCTTCTTTGAACAATTTAATATAGGAATAGGAAAAATAAGAGCAAAATAAACGAGATAAAATGGATGATAAGAAATATGAAAAAGAGAGAGAAAAAAAAAATAGAAAAGTGAATTATGTTTCATCTAAACACTCTTCCTAATTGATTTCTAAGTGATAAACAAGTGTAGAACGAACCACTGAAAGGAATAATTGCGTACTCGGAAATCAGACGAGAGAGTATATTTGGACTGCTTGAATTTTCGCTACGATGCCTTTAAAATCTCGCCTCGGCATGGCTGACACGCGCCGTTGCACGAACGACTCGTTTCGTAATCACTTTCGATTAATAGGTGCGCTCTAATTAATCCCTGGTCTTCGAGAACGTGCGGTTACAAACGCCGCGCGTTCAAACAGACTGTACTTATGAGCATGCATGCATGCATGCATACATTCGTGTACGTGCTATGTATTATTACGTACCTATCTATGTATGCGCATATGTATATATATATGCATATATGTATGTATGCGGAAGAAGAAAATAAAAAAAATGTATTCGACAGTTTTGCCCGTTCCGTACGATCGATCACGTTCATGCGCACATATTACGTGCGTAAAGAGAAATTTCGTTTCGTTTCGTTTCGATGAGACGATTCTTTTTATCTGTTTATCAAATGTTTATTTCATCCGCGCATCATCACCACATATGTATAATATATATTAATTTACGTGTATACGTTTCTGTTTTATTTTTATTTTTTTTCACGAAATTCGTGCAACTCGTCGTGACGTCGATAACGAAAAAGAAGAAAAAAAAAACAAAAAAATAACAGTAAGCAAACAATATATGTGTAACTATTTCGATAACAATGAAAATAATTGGCGCAAACACTCGATTAAATTCTTAAATCCCGTTAGCGTCAATCATAGTCTATTTTTAACAATTAATCCAATATATGGAAGTCGCGTGATGAAATCCTAGGATGAAAAATAATCTATTTCAATTCCGTTTCTCTCTCTCTCTCTCTCTTTTTATAGTTTCTTATCTCTCTTCATATGACGATAGAGTAACGTTATCATAGAAGAGAGAGAGAGAGAGAGAGAGAAAGAGAGGATTAACTCCAATACAATGAAATTATATAAAATTCGTTCTATAAAGATCGATTCTACACGTAAGGAAGTAACTAATTGAATGAATGATATCGTGCTTATCTTCCTTTGGTCTAGGCGATAGGTAGACGAATCATCATCGTGCTTGTAGGATACCGTAAACGGCGGTACTTTAAATAGATACATCGTAAGAAAATACGCGTGTGGATATATCAGCTGACGAGCAAGCAACTCTCTTGACGTAATCGCATGCGATATGTGTGTGTGTGTGTGTGTATGCCTGTGTGTATATATATATATATATAGGGAAATATCTATGCTGTTTGTAGGTGTACATTCACTACCGTATGTGCGGTCGATAAACGATAAACAACTTTCATGGAATATTAAAAATTGCTTTCTTCGATTTATGTGCGAGAACAAACAGCCATAAAACTATACTTTTATTCTTTTTTTAATTGTATTTCTATGAAATAAACGAAACATTATTCTATATAGTGTAATTAAAATAAAAAGATAAAAAGGAAAAATAATATTTTTTCGTATATTTGTGATAGGAAACACGTGCGCGGTGCATACGCGCGTATACGAAAAAAGAAATAATAAATATTTATAAAAAATCTGTCGAAAGAGTAGTTAATAAATATAGTTAAGTTAACGTAATTGAATTCGCTAAAATTTACACATTGATCGAGCACAATACAAATCCATTTGATACGACACTTGCATATTCACGCTGCTCGAGCATAATTTGACCAACTTCCTTCCGGTTTGATTACGTAAAGTTAGTAGAGAGAACTGAAGCATAAGGTGGCGATCAAAATCACCTCCGTTTCTCTTAACGGTCGTACGAATTTTTCAACGAATTATTCTATATACAGTTTTTATTTTCTACTTTGCGGTAGTGATCGGAATATCTCTTAAGGCTTGTACAATATATTAGTGTAAAAGAAACGGTTACTAGGTCGACGAGGAAGGAAGGAAGGAAGGAAGGAAGGAAGGAAGGAAGGAAGGAGAAAAGAAAAAATGTTACCTTTTTTCGATTTTGCACCGATTTTCAAACGCGAAGGCCACATCACGAAGGTATTCGTTTCCTCCATAACCTGAAACAGAAAGAAATAATCGATGAATGAATCGAATCTACGAGATCGAAATTGCGATACGCGCGATTAATTGGAAAAAAAGAAAAAACATAAATGTACGATGATACGACGAGTAAGAAGAAAAATAGGTATCCCGTTAAACGTAGAATTGTTCTTAATCGCGAAAGAGATAATGATACGATGAGTATATGAAACGTGTTATATCGATCGAAGTTTGCGATCATGATGATGCAATATGATATATACCAAGAATTACCACAGTCATTTTTGGAATATACGGCCTTGGTGTCCTCCGATCTTGCCGGCGTGTTGAAAATTCAGGAAAACGTGGGTGAAGAAAAGAAAGGAAAGAAACGTGCACTCGAATGAGTAAGAAGGAGAAAGAAGAAGAAGAAGAAGAAAAAAAAATGGGAAAAAAAGAAAAAAGAAAAAAAGAAAAAGATATTGGAAGGAAAGGAAAGCAACAAAATGGCTTATCCTCGAAGACTAATAAGATCCTTTCTCGTCCTGTCGCTTTGGTGATAGTAGTCTTGGCAAAGTAGAGGGGGAAGAGAGGTAGTAGAACGACACGTTGCAACCTCGTCGCAACTTTCACGATAACGATAACGAGACACCTCTCGGCAAAGAGCAGGGCTGGCTTTAACTAAGACTAAAACGAACAACACCGCAGAGAGCAACGCGCCGGCGGCTTTTACTTTCACCGCAGCGGATCCCCGCAGGACATCGCCAACTTAAAAACGTGCCTTGACGACTCGAAAAACTCGAATCTTTCGAGCACCGTTAGGTTCGTTGGATCTTGGACGAACGAATTATATCACTAAATACATACAAATCAATCTTGCTTGACTTAATTATACGAGTTTGTTCTTATTTTTTATCTTCCAATCCTTACAAGTTTAAAACAACTAATACACTACATTATATATATATTCCACTTTCTTCGGTTTCGATGGACGAACGTTCACTCGGTTAGATATAACTTGGAAAATATATTTGAAATATGAATAAAAAAGGAGAATCAGCTGATGATAATTTGATTAGTCTTACAATACTTAATTCTGCCTTGCACAATGTTGCACGATAATTTCTTGGATACCACTTTAACGCGACCGGCTCGCTGGCACGACTGACTGACTAACACAGGACAACATAACAGCTTGGCAAACTCACCGTCTCCCACTCGACCGATTCAAACCCCTACTCTACCTTTCCTATCCCTCTCTCTCTTTTACACACACACATCTACTTCATCGAAGCATCCAATACGAACCTCTTTCAAACGATCTTCGAGAACACGAACAATGAAAAGTTTAGCTTTTCTTCGGCATTGTGTAGAAATTTTCTTTCAACGATCAATGGAATGGAATGTTCCTTTTTTAAGAACTTACCTTACCTTATTGTTAGTCATCAAATTTTCTATTATGAATAGAAACTTAACGTTGACATAGTAGAAATGCAGACTATTCTATAAAAAATCTTTGTCTATAGATCCCAAATCCCAAGAAAACTTCAGCTATTCTATCTTATATGTAGTAGAAACTTTGTAGAAGAATTTTTTTCAAAAGGATGGCCAGACAATATTTCTTTCTATAATCTTAAACATTGAATTTCCATAGGCAAAAAGGTTCCACCTTTTTGTTTAAGTAGATAAATAATGAATAAAGAAAGTATTCGTACACGTTCTTTTTTCTTTTTTCTTTTTACCCATCAACTATGAAATATAAGTCCATCGTAAATTTGAATTTCAGAATGTATTATAAAAATTCGAAGAAACTGTAAAGAAAATTTCAAATGAAAGTATATTATATCTCCGAGTATTTTCTTAATCGTTTAATACTTTATGCTAATTAGACTATCTCGAAGGTGTTGCGACGGATTAAGATCTTGTTATATTCTTCACTCAACGTTGATTAATTTTGCAAAATTCGATGTGAGAGAATAATCGAATGGATATTTATTATTATTCTTTTCGCATGTGGTTTATAATGAGATTCTCTCTCTCTCTCTCGACGGAGAGAGGTTTCCGAAAAAGAAATTCATTCGATAAATTGGAAACTTTCATAAACAATAGAAACCACTCACCGAACGCGATTAGAAGAAGAAGAAAAAAATAAAAAAAATGTGATCTCCTGTCATCTCGATGATCCCGCGAGCAAAGGCAAGCTTATAATTTGACAAAAGGTAACTCTCGTTGGTTGTTTGTAATTATTTATCTTCCGATAGTCGAGCAAAACCGCCTTCTTATTTGTCCAGAGCGTTAGAAACTGCACCGGTTGATGGCGACGGTTAAAACGCGAAAGGCGTAATCAAAAGGACGAAAGGAATAAAATGTATCAGGCCGTGTGTTTTCACCGCGAGGAAAGTACTCGCGGATACGATTACATCAAGGTTATTAACGTCGACTTCCGCGTGTATCAAGCAATCGGGTTGTCGACCCGATGCACACCAACAATTTAAGGGAGTTCTTGGATTTCCAGAAGTCCAACCGAGTTACGACTCTTTAGAAAATCTAACTTTGATTTAGTAATTCTCAGATATCCCGGAATTCTCAAATCAAACTTTACGACCGAGACAATTTTACTAACTATAAAAACGATTGTTCGCTCGTTATTGTTCCGATAAACTACGACTGGAATAATATTGACCTCTTTTTTTCTTATTCTTTTTTCATTTCCAAGTAATTATCTAAATTTCTAATGCATCTAAGAAGAAAAATATTTTTCGGGAAGAATGCACTAACAATCCTGCGACGTTACGAAACGTCAAAGTTTCTCCCACCCTCCGTGCACAAAGCGCGGCGACGTGTCCCGAAAGCTTACGTAATTTCACATAAGTTATATAATTTCGGAGATATTTCTCAAATTTGTCCACGAGCCGAGGCAATCAGTCTAGAATCATAGCACGAAGGAAGCCTGCGCGCACGCAAAGGAAAAGTTCGAAGAACGCACCTTGTGAAACGTCCATGAGAAAGGGGACCGTCCAATAATACTTCGATGCTCAACGGTGTGATCCACTTTACCCTACTTCACCAAAATAACTTCCACCATGGCTCGGTTTTATCCAATCTCGAGGTTCGAAAAACAAACGGCGAAAAAACAACTAACATCAATTTATTTCATGCGTTCTATTTTCACGCATTCATCTCGAATACGAATAATTTCATAACGATTTCGGATCATGTAATTATCTCTTCTTATTTTTTCAATTTTTACATAACACTAATCCTTTTCCAATATCCTAACTTCGTGTTCCTATAATTTCTTATTTCTATAGTTAAACTCGTTAGACAGCTTTTATTTAGTTCGTTTTAATTACTTTCCCGAACACACATTTTCTGTTTTCCTTTTTATTCCCCTTTCTTTTCAGAGTTCTGACCACGGAAGTAAATTTTACTCTCTTTCTTTCTCTTCGTTTGCTTTTCTCCATTTCTCGCTTATTACCTCCACTAACCTCGTTTTAACCAGCATTGCCGTACTATCGCAAATCCCGTTTTTCAAGAACAAACGTGAAAGTTTATTGAAACGTTATTCGTAGCCAGGAAGGAAGGAGATTGTTACAACCAAGAAAACAGAGAGAGAGAGAGAGAGAGAGAGATAGAAAGAACAGGAGACACTTATAGTTCAAATTACTTTCGAATCTTTTATTTTTCTACCCTTCTTCCCCCTCCTTTTTTCAAACGTTATAAAAGATTGTTCTTTTGTATTATTTTCCTTCCAATTCTGTCCATTGCTATAACTAATTTCTCTTTTTCTTTTTCCCTTTTTTCTTTGTCCAGCTATTTACAGTCCGAAAATGAAAATGCCACGTCGAGGTAGACGAAACAAGCAAAGCTCAAATAAAGCTTAAAGACCAACGTTTCTCTTAAGCTAAAATTACAATAGTTGTACTAGGACAAGCAGTTGGTATTTCGGTGAAATAACATCGTCGAGTTTAAAGTCTTAGAAGCTCGGCAAATTTGTCTTTTGGTGAAGCCAAACAAAATTGTTGATCAAAGAGAGAACGTGTTATCGATGTTGTCTCGATAAAATAATATCTTGGTAACACAAATTATGTCATTTTATCCTTTTTCTTCTTCTTCTTCTTCTTCTTGAAGAGTCCAATGTTCTTATAATCCTCCATTCAATGTTCATAATATGTCTCGATAAGTGTTGCATAACATACTTATTATAATTAATAAAATATTTCATGATAAGTATTCAAATACTTTTGTGAATCACTGTATATGTTTTTCAACAAAACGAGCCATGTGCAAATGAAAACGACTCGACTGATTTATATTTGATAACTTATTCTCGATAGACATTTTTCTACATAAATTTAATACGTGCATGAGAAAATAAGCAAAATTGTTTTGTTAGATGACGTTTCCTTACCGGTTTCGTAGCGCGGAAATTTTTGTTGGAAATATACAGAAAATCGAACGATGGAACGTTACGTCAATGGAACAAGCTAATCGTATCGATATAACTTCTTTTTTTTTATTCCTTTTTCTTTCTTTATATCATTATTATTATTTTTTCTTCTTTCTTTCTTTCTTTCTTTTTGTAAACTCACGTCAAGTCGCACTTGAATTCTCTCGTAATTTATCGCGCGATAAATTCGGTGACGGAATGGACAAACGAAGTCGTTATATGCTTTTGCGAGAACGACGAACGAAGGAGGGAGGAGGAAGGGAAGAAGGGAGGAAGAGAGAGAGAGAGAGAGAGAGAGAGAGGAGTTAGACTCTTGATAAACTCGACAAGAAGATATCGACGGTGTTGTGCAATTTAAAATGTATCGTCAAACTTCTACTTGCTTGTCAAATACGTTTCGAAAAGAAAATCCTTAAGAAAGGAAAAATGAAAATATAATACGATCGAATAAGAAAAGCGAAAATAACATTTTTCGACGAGTTTTATCCTCGATAAGGAATAAAATATATATATACTTATTACTATTATCGATTTGACAATCAATGTATTTATCAGAATACATGTGTAAGTTAATAATCATAAAAATAATTTACAAATGTAAGTCATTAGAGATATTAAAAGACGTATTTATTAGCATACTTGAAATTTTTGGAATAATTTAAATCCAAATGTCAAAATATCTCAAAAGGAAAAAAAATATGACTTAAGATTAAACCATTTTCATAATCGTCGACTGATACGAATGTATAAGAATATATGCCTAAATATAAAAGTAGCATTCTATCAACTCTTTGGAAGTATCAGTAAAAAAAGGAAAAAAAAAAAAAAGAAAATAATATCTATCATGTGATAAATAAATTTACGATTACATCAGTATTTTCGAGTAATCGCACGTGACACGTATGTAAGTATATTCGCGAATCGATGCATGCGAATATTTTCTACTGAGAATTGATACATACGATCATGACTTTTATACTTTGTATCAGCGCATACATCTCTGTCGTTGCTTTTGCCGTCTAGACTGAAAGCGAGCATACCTAATTAATATTGGATTATGTTAAGCAGTCGAGATCTAACCTTTGTATTCGACGAAGAAGTTACGATCGATACGATCGTCGAAGAACGTCTTTTGAAGATTCCCTTTTACTAAATCACTCGAGACATTCTTTCAATGCTACATTTCTTTCGCAACTCCATAACATTGCATTTCGTTTTAATCTATATTAGCTAGAATAAATTATCGTTGATATATGTGATCGAACTATCGAATTAAAAGGCACACATTTTGTATTTATCATATATATTAATATTTCCAAGTATTATTTTCTGATATCATTTGAACGCGTTTCAAGCGGCAAAGTTTGAACCCATTATTTTGAGTTGCCGCATGAAATCATGCCAAGCGGTGACCGAGAGTAACCTCCTACAGTTGCAAAGGGTTAATATTTCGATTAGGGTCGTCCGTGTGTCTACCTTGAAATATGAATTTATTTAGTTTCTTTATTCATTAGAAAAATTTGAATAATTCAAAGTTCGATGTTACCCGCGACGCCGTTCGATATTTCAATTCTTACCCCTCCTTTTTGTTTTTTAATATAAAACTTTTTCTATCGTCGACATAAAAATGCATAACTTCGCGAAAGCTTTTTTTTAGCCATCCGGTTCGTTAAACAAAATAGAATAATATTGACGTTAGATCTAGAGCGTTTAGACTTTTTGGCCGTCGAAAGTAGGCGCCTGTCTGACACATCTTCCTCTCCAATGGAAATCACATTAGCTCGTTTAAAGCGGTACGCTTTTGAACTTACACTTCGTTTCCTTCGTTAAACGCGTACCTAGCACCGAGTTTTCTTCCTTTCGCGTAACTTCATTTTCGTCTTGGAAAACTACCTACAAAACTTACTTAGTATTTACATCTTACAATTAGATACTACGAGAGGAA